CGCATTCTACTTATTTTGACACCCACACGTTAGAAAGTGTTTATTGTGAAGAAAAGGCTGATATGAAGGTTCAAATGACCAACTAGAGGATTTCACTACATATTATCAGGATTAAATGCCCAAGGTCAAACAAGCGGCCATGGAAGGCCTCCCTTCATTTCATTATCGACTACATGTTGCATATTGAAGAAGCATATGTTAAGCATAGTATGTATCGAGCAAAGCCCCCTTGGGCATTCTCCTTCTTCTTTCTCTCTCCCTTTTTTTGTTTCTTTCTTCTTCTCTCTCCCTCTCTTTTTCCTTTTTTTCTTCTTTTTTTTTGTTTTTTTTTCTCTTTGATGATCCTTGAGGTGCATTCAGTGGGTTTGGTTAGTTTGTCAAAAAAAGGTCTAATGCATAAGCTCAACTGGTTAACTAGAGACTTTTGTGGATTCAAGTGATTATTGAGGAAAGATGAATGGCCGAAGATGGCCTCCAGTCCTTTTTTTGATTAATCCATAGAGTACTACTAGGTTAGGATGGTGCCTTTACTCTATGTCAGCTTAGGCATTATTCAAAAGGAATGCACCATTCTTTGGTAGTTGCAATTTTGCCCCAGTTTGGACAGAGATGCTGACTTTATTACAGATTGGGAGGTTAAAAGGAAATTTAACTATAGAGCTCTTGATCAACAACTAACTTCCCTCAGGCATGCTTTTGGGATTCTGAGAAGAGACAAACTTTGCCTTCTTCAACAGGTAGACAACCCTAAACGGGCTAATCACTATCTTATAAGTAAGCATAGGGCAAGATAAGGAAAAAATGGGGAAAATAATAATTTTATTTACGGAAGTGGACCCATGAAATGGGCTGCTCTATGTACCCTTTGAAAGGGATCAGGCTGGATGTAGGCTCTATTAAGGAGGAAGCAGTCGGATTTGCTAGCTAAGAAGTGATTGCAAGACTTTGGAAGGGATTTTGTGCCACAACCCAGTAACTGATCTATTCACTGTCTAATGAGAAATTGGCCAAGGACTCTTGATGGTGCTTTCTTGTCAACATAACCCAGCTAGCAACTACTTCTTTCTTTATTTTTCCCTCACTCTCACTTCTTTTTTTTTTTTTTTGAATTTTGGATTTTGGATTTCCCCCCTTTGTTTTGATATTTTATATTTTTCTTGTACTTTGAAATTTTCCCTTTTTTGGATTTTCCTTATTTTCTTAGATCTTGACATGTTTCTCTTTTTTATGTTTTGGATCTTTTATCTTTTTGGTGTTTTGGATTTTTTTATATTTTATATTTTCCTATTTTTTTCTAAATCCTGGATTTTTTTTATTTTTTTGCACATTGGATTCCCCCTTCTTTTTTGAATTTTGTTTTTTCTTTCTTTTTTTATTTTGGATTTTTCTATCTTTTCTTTGTTATTTTTGATTTTGCATTTTCCCATTTTTTATTTATATATCCCTATTGTTATTTTATATATTCCCATTTTTTGCATTTACTTGGATTTTTTTCTTTTTCTTTTTATTTCTTATTTTTATTGATTTTGGATTTTTCCCTTTTTATTTGATTCCCTAGTTTTTTTATTTTTTCTCTTTTTTTGTATTTTGTATTTTCCCTTTATTGTATTTTGACTTTTCTTCTTTTTTTTTGGATTTTGGATTTTCTCTTTTGTTATATATTTTGGATTTTTTCTTTTTTGCATTTTTATATGTTAGTTTGGATTTTTCTTTTCCTTTTTTTAAACTTTCCATTTTTGGATTTTCTTTTGTTCTCTTTTCTTTTTCATTTTTGGGATTTTCCCATTTTTTTAATCTTTTTTTTGTAGCTTTCTTTTTTTTGCTTTTCTCTCTGTTTTCGCCGTTGACTCCTAGCAGTTAGTTAGTCTCTGAAGGTCCAGAGATGGCAACGAGAAAGAGAGAGGATGAGGGGAGGAGAGGAAAAGAGAGGAGAGAAGGGAGAATCCCTTGTGAGAAACCTAGGTGAGGATTATGATTGTGTTCTCCCTGGAGAAGAATTGCTCTCCCCCTTTTATATAGAGAAGGTTAAGGTTATTTAGGAAGAAGTTCTTTCTTGTTGGGAAAGAGAATCTTTTCTGTTAGGAAATGAGATCTTTCCTTTTATTTGACTATTAAGGGATTATTATTGGAGAGTCTTATCCCTTTCGAATTCTATTTGTATACGACCCTATTATATTGACGTAGTGTGGGTGACGTCATTGTTTGATAGGCATACATTTTATTAAACTTGCATGAGTAATTTAAAGATGCACATGTAACCGGCATTTATTCCCGATCTACCGTGATTCCGTAGTTCTCGTAATGTTGTCGGGTTCATCGCAATCGCATCGTAGACGTGCAATAGGTTACGGATCCATCGCAGGCGTCCACGTAGCATTGGTTTGACACCCTCTGTACTCTGATAGTCTTAGTGACCACCATGTACTTACATTAGCTCCCCTGCTTATCGATAAGCACTTACCTTCATATTTGTTTTTAAATCTTGGGGTCATTTGGTTTGCATGCGTTGGGTCTGGGAATTTGCCATATTTTGTAATTTTGTGTAGGTAGGATGTGTCTTGTGTTTGTGATGGGAATTTCCTGCGTTCCACGGTTTATCCCTCGTCTTTTGGTGGTTTCCTTCTTGTCAATGGTCAATGCTACGCCTTATTTGTGTGTTTCAGCCCCCCTGACTGTTGACGGGAAGGAAATTAGAAAAAGACATTGGGAATTACTGTGTGTGATGCTCCTTCTTGGCAACGGACAAGCTAGTGTTGAGTTTCCGTATTTCAGCCCCCCATGGCCATTAACAAGGGAGGATAGCAAGGGAGTGTATGGGATTGCAATGTGTGTTGCCTTTTTTGGCAATGGCCAAGTTCGTGTGTTCATGTTAATAGTGATCCTATGTTCACTCGGTATTTAGAAGTATTTAAGCTTTGAAGGAAAACATTATCGCAACTCTTGTTCTGACAAAGTAGATCGTGCGTACTCCTTAGTTCGGAAATTCAGTGCAATTGTCGAACTAAGATTTAAATTTGGGTGTTTTGCGAACTTTTATCACTTGAGTGTTGCTATGATTGGACTGTAAGGGTGTTGACATATGTACAACTTCAAACTTTAGTTGTAGATCGCTAGAGGGAGAAATCGAGTGTCATACCGATTCCTAAGATATACCGTATTAGCCATGCCATTCTAAAATCGAAAACTAACACCGCCGCACCGTAGGTATTTATCATAACATATTGGGCGTGTTTTCTGGTTTAAAGGCCCAGCACGATTTGTGTGGGTATTCAGAGTCTTAAGTTTTATCGCAAATTGCGTTTATAGGTCACAAATAAAACCCAAGTATTTAAAATTAAATATTTTGTGAACACGCCTGTATGTTTCATGGTGATCGGCCATCATAACTAGCCTCTAGTCCCAAATTGTTAGAGTGGAGGGAGAAATCGACTATTGTTCTGTTTCTCAAATTTTCATTGGGTGCGATAAGGTTGTGAACAATTTTAGTATGCGCATAGGAAAGGGAATTTGATTTTTGTAGGAGGATTGGGCTTCTATGTGGGCTTTATCGCAAGCATAGTGAACTTTATCGCAGATCGTTAGAGAAAACGAATAGTGTTGTTTCAATCATCTGAGATACTTTCGGGTGCAAAGGAGTTATCCCAAATAACATTATGTAAATAATAAATTAACGTTTTCATAGAAAGAGAAGTTTGAATTACTTTGTAGGGAAATGCAGTTTTTGCTACACACACAAGGATCAATGGTTGTTGTGCCATAAGAAGGTGATGCCCTCAATGGGCGATATAGTTTGGGTTTTAGTCATAGTATAATAAGTAGCATAGGTTAGAGTTTTGTCGCAACCGTGTTTGGGGAAGTGGAGTGTTGTTCTTCAGTGGAGTTTTATTGTCAATGTAGGGGCGGGTAAAGTTTGTTTTCCCTTAGTTCATCGCAGTTGGACAGAGTATATGTATTTATAAATTGGATAGGAGTCATACCTGCTATCGACGAAGCTCTCCAATGGTTACACGGAGGTATAGCTGTGCTTGGGGTTGCCAAGGCTTTGGCGGTGCCTAGGGTTGCCAAGGCTTTATCGGTGCCTGGGATGCTAGGGCTTTCTCTATGCCTAGGGTTGTTAGGGCTTTATCTGTGCCTAGGGTTGCCAGGGCTTTATCTGTGCCTAGGGGGTCGGGGCTTACTGAGGTGCCCGGGGTGTCTAGGGCTTTTGTAGTGTGCTTGGGGGTCCGGGGCTTACTGAGGTGCCTAGGATGTACAGGGCTTTTGTAGTGTGCCTGGAGTGCCGAGGCTTACTGAGGTGCCCGAGGTGTCCAAGGCTTTTGTAGTGTGCCTGGGGTGTCGGGGCTTTGTAGAGTGTCTGGGGTTGCCGGGGCTTACTGAGGTGCCCGAGGTGTCCGGGGCTTTTGTAGCATACCTAGGGTGCCAGGGCTTTGTAGAGTGCCTAGGGTTGCCGGGGCTTTGTAGAGTGCCTAGGGTTGCCGGGGCTTTGTAGAGTGCCTGGGGTTGCCGGGGCTTAGTAGAGTGTATATGTATATGTATATATGTATATATATAATAAGCACAATCGAGATTCATCGCAAGTTGAAGTTAACAATATGTTCATTCGAGAAATCAAAACTACATCGCACAGTTCAGAATACATCATGATATATATTTCATTGCAGCATATCATATGTTTAATTCAGACCAAAATCGAAACCGATATGGGTTGAAGTGTTGAGAATGATTTAAGGGAACATAAATTAACAATCTATATGTCAAAGAACATAATGAAATGGCAGAACAGAATTCATATAGCCAACCCATATTGTTAGGACAAGGCTTAGATGATGATGATACAAGTACTGCACGTATTGAAGATTCATGTTCTGCGCTTTCATCTTATAGTTTTTTAATAAACATTTTCATCTTATTGTCCTATTTAAGATTTAAGGTTTATGGATATTTAAAGCGTGGGAGAATACCAGTACAACTTTAAAGTTATCAGGATTCAGGATACAATAAAAACAACAAATCTCAAAATGGACAAAGTAGTGAAAATGAATAATTTAGTTACAGATGCATTACTTAATTGACAATCCTCAAAACCAATTTTTCACATTCTAAAATTCAGAAAGCCCCAATATCTTTATCTCTACCTTGTTACTTTTCTGTGTCCAGCTTGCAGATGAGCCTTCTATGTAAAGTTTTATTAGAAGCCCAAGTCCTTTCCCTCTAAGAACATGTTTCCAAATCCTCTTTTACGTTGCAGATTTCCAGAAGGATCACAATTGATTTGATTAATACAAAGTGGGTATAATGGTCAGGTCTTCTCACAAAATAAAGACACCAGTGATATTCAACCAGTTAGAGTGAACTCTACTGAGCTAAACTCTGATGGATGTTCCCCATGTAACACTGCAGGAGCTTTTAGAAAGGGTAATAATATAGCATATTTATGACCTGCCCATACAATTGATTCTGCACAAGTCGATTGTTACCGCTTTTTTATTGGTAAGGAAAATTATTACCTTGGTACACAAGAACGAGTTATCGGCATCCAATGGCCATGATAGGATGTCTATGGAGGGAGACCCACAATTAGTTACATGGTGGATGAGGAATGTTCCAAGGCCCCTGGAAAATACCTTACAAGGTTAGAGACTGGGTATGAAGAAGAAATGTTGAAAAGCATCAATATCATCTTAAATTCTCTCTAGATAAAGCCTTAAGCCCTCTGTTTGCCCCATGTGTGAAGGCCCATGTAAAGCCTCTTTTTTTCCTTAACTTGGGAAAATTACTGTCAAGTAACTTATTCAGAAGTTTGTTCCTATTCACTGCCTAACATTTCAAAATAGCACAGAACAACCTCAATGAAAAAAGACAAAAATACCAGCACCAGCATTGCTAGTTCAGTGTTCCAAAATGGTAGAAGTCGATAAATTTTAATGGAGGCCTTGTAACTTATCTTCCATTGTACAAACTACCATCTTTTTTTGCAGCCACCTAGTTTGGAAAAAAAAACTACCATTCTTGGTGGTCAGATGCACAGAAGGCTGACACTAACTGTCAGATTTGTACTGATTTAATGAAGGGCAGTTTTAACATTAAAGAAACAACCTACAATTCTTGTTCAGAAATTAAAAGAGAAAAGAATATTGATATTGATATTATTGTCCACACCAAATAAACTATCTTAGAATTGAAATTGAGAAATCAAAAACATGGCGGCTGTTTTGCATTTCCAACATTGGAACAATGAGTAGGAAGAGACTTCCAAATGAGGCAGTCCCAAGTAATTTTCTCTGACTTTTTGAAACTAGTACAAAAATTATAATACAACAAGACTCAGGCCAATTAGGCCTTCCTGAGCTCAAAACATATTACAAGAACATCCGTGATTTAGTACAAAGAAGGAGAGAAACATTCTGACTTTTGAACTCCTCATTCACCAATACCCAGGAGCAAATCTTCCCCACCACTTTCTGCACAATCTCATCTGGACTTTTAGATTGATTACAGAAAATTCTATTGTTTCTTTCCATCCAAATGGACCAAAGAACAGCCTGCAGAATAGTAATCCAAACAAGCCTGCCTTTCTTGCTAAGACCCTCCAATCTCCAACTCATAAACAGCTCATTCACAGACTTAGGCATAGCCCAACACACCTCTAGTTTCTTGAAGAAATGTCCCCAGATTGAAGAGAAGATCGGACAGTGAATGCACAAATGATCTATAGATTCAGCACCCATGCCGCATAAAACACAGGAGGGATCAGGAATCTGAACCATAATTAGTAAATATATATAAAAGGTGAAGCAAATTACTGAACCATAATTAGTAAATATATATAATGCATAAATTTATAAATAGAGTATAGAATATATTTCTGTACAATTTGATATCAAGAACAAAAAATTAAGGTGAACAATTTGATTTACTAAAAGATTGGCTAGACAATTCATGTTTAATATGCTTCCATTAAATTATAAAATATATGTAAAAGATTGGCTAGACAATTCATGTTTAATTTCTCCCACACATTTACTGTATGCTGGTACATTTTGTCTCATTTATGTATGTACCAAACATTGGTAGAATTTCAGAATATCCAAAGACAAAAGATTAGAGAACGTTGTATAAATTACACTCATGTACTATTTACTTTGAAGACAAATTTGTAAGATAAATTTATCAAGAAAACCAATCATTAATTAATAATATGACTTATCTATCAAAAAATAACAATAATATTGACTTGGATGAGCAAAGTGGACGCACTGATCACCAAATGCTGCTTTTGTTGAAGCCTACAAGGTAATTAGATTTTCTCCTTTTTTTATTTTGACTTTTCTTTTCTCTTTTGAATTTTGGATGTTCCCCCTTTTTTGTATTTTAACTTTTCTTCTGAATTTTCTCTCTGTCTTTTTATTTATTTTTATCATTTTTGTATTTGTGGCTTTCCATTCCTAATCTGGGACACTCTAAGATTAATCATGCAAATGTATCACACACAAGGTGGTTGACCCTAGAGTCTAGGCTTAAATGATGTGCATGGGTTTGGAGTGTGATATATAGATCATGGTTGAAAGGCCATCAGTCTTCAAACCTCCACCCGTAGGGGCTTCTCAGGTTGGTGACTGGCCGAGAGCTTTCCACCGGCCTCATCAGATGCACCCGATGGCCCAAGTGTACCAAACTCTCACCTAATAGGGCAATAGGTTTCTAAATAACTAAAAATGAAATACAATGCGCAAGTGGTTGTGCATCATATAAACATAAGCTAAACAACATATTATCAAAGCATGTAAACATGACTGCTATTATTTACTTTATTTAATGAAGTAAACAGCATGAAACGACTCTAGATCTCCTGCCCACGAGAACTCTGCCCACGCCTACCCACAATACACTACCCCTGTGAATTGGGAAAATATCCCCTTCCATAATACTATACAGAGGATGAGATGTTCTCCATGTGTGGCTGTGATAAATGTAGGCAGAGTTCTCGTGGGCAGGAGATCCAAACTTGCATAAAACCAAAAGAATAACCTATCTAACAAGAGAGAGAGAGAGATTCCACACTTAGATATACTGATTACTGAATAAGGGCAAGACAATAAAGTGCATAATTGAATAAGGCAATCAGAAATTATTGATACTATGGGAATGCAAGTTATTAAGCAATCTTGAAGTCAACTTGGAAGAGGGATTCGACTATGCCCAAAAACTAAAGCCAAACCTTTTAGAGAGACAACTTAAAGTTTGTTTGGCTCTCCAACAATAGCCTTTGCTACTCCATACTCAAGGCTTTCCCTTTTCTTTTCTTTTTTTTTTTTTTCTTGAGAGGAAGGAACTAGGGGAATGAAGGCGGGAAAGTTCCAGTTCTACAATTTCACAGGGGCTGAACGGTGATGCTCAACCTCGAGGGGAACCTGCTGTCAGCCTACTCATTGGTTCCTAAAAAAATGGCGTATGACAATTGAACTTCCAATTACTGATGACTTTACAGTTTTATCACCGTAGGAATACTCCCTCCTCTTGCGCAGAGGCTGAACCCTAGGTCTACCACCCTTTCAGTTCTGAAACACCACCCAACTTAGGATTGTTATCTTGAAGGCCTTAAACATGTAATCACCTACTAACTCCACTCAGGTCCACCTATGAGAGATTAAATCAGAGTAGTATAAGATCTGTTTTGGAATGCTGGATGGAGCTTGTTCAGGGCAATGAAACACCCATTTATTCTAAAGCAGAGCTCTATACTAGGCCTAAAGTCAACTTCAATTCAGTGAAGGACACTTGGCACAAGTCTGAAACCAGTTTTTAAGTCAAAAGAGACACTTACTCCCAAGGAAAAGAGGTTAACTAGACATTTTTTAAATCCCCAAATGAAAATTATTACAAGAAGACATCTCTGTGGAATGCTGTGCACTAATACCCCACTTATCACTAAGAGAGTCCGGACTTCAAAGGAAAAAAGAAACAGACTAAGCCGGTTCCTAGTTGTTTGGTGCAAACACCAGATTAGAACTGTAGCTGTCCTAAAGCTAACTCTCTGAATTGATCCAACAACTACAACAAAGAACTAGCCTCAAATAGGTCAGACTAGAAACAATCTCTCATGGTTGAGTAACCTGTACCCGTAGTTCCTAGAGCCGCTTACCCGAACTGCATATAAACAACTCAAACAAGTAGGTCAAGACTCTTCTGACATTAAGATACAAGTTTAAACATCTTTGACACAGCTGCTGAAGGTCTGGCTAACAAGATTCTGGCTTACTCTCATTCTAGGCAACGCCCTTACTTTCAACCCAGAAAGCTTACTTTACATGCACCACTTCAAACTTAGTAAAAAAAATCACTCTTTATCTAGTGCGGCTGGTATGGCCATGTTTCTCTCGTCCTTATATGTCCTTACCACCGCAATGGAATAAGCACACTAGACAGCACAGTTCAAAAACACTAGTGAAAAATCAATGTCTTAGTTCAAAATCAGTTTCAGGGGTTTGGGCATCAGACCTTGTGATGTTATCAAAAGAAGTCAAGGGAACCGGACTTGTAGGTAGAAGGTCCCAAACTCAAGCCTTGAATTAGAATGCAAAAACTGGACCACCATTAGCATTCAAATTTCAGACTGAAACATTTAACATAAGCTTGCACTCAACAAACAATCTAAGCTACAGTGACACTCAGAAATCATGGAATTTAAGGGAAACAGGAATGTGACTAGTAACTCTAGTGCACCCTGTAGATTGGAGCTTTGCTGAAAGTGCCATAGTAATTTTGGGCACAAAAGAGAAGGTTGACCTCAGCCCAGAGCAAGAATCACCTTCCTTATTCCAAGGATCTCAAGAAGGGAATTAAAAGAGAGGGAAGACTAGAAACAACATTTTATCTTGAAAAGATCGCGAAATGAAGCTCAACTTATTGAAGTTAAACAAACAAATTAAAGATTTCAACACACACCAACAGCAGATGCTTTACCATTAAAACATATTGGGAAGGAAGCCATCCTTTCACACAATTGACCTACTGTTTTACTTATTCGACATAAGGCAATATCAGTCACCAAAGGAGTTTTCAAGCAACCATACTTCAGCAACCTAGAAGGGTCCAAGGAGGCTACTTCCTATCCAAGTCTGAATTGATATGACACTTTGTTTTTGCTTTAGTACCCAACTCCCTTTTCCCTTCATTTTGCCCAAACCAAAAGCCAACTTCTAAGAGTAAGGATCCACACTTTATTTCAGACCCAAGAGCATTTATTTCAAACAGGGGAATTCAGACTTTTACCTTTACAATAAAGAAACCAGGACTGAAATTAAACATAGAGGCCTAGCTAAGGCAATCCAGCCCCAAACCTAAATCTCTTTAGCCGTTAACTGCACAGGTATTTTATCAATTAAACCTACGGCCATCTCAATCTGAGAGGGGAATGAAGGGAGACTAGAATGGTGGTCCCAAAGTCAAAGTTTCGGTCCCGTGACTTTACAGAGACTGCATAATAATGTTCAGAACTTGAGGTAACCTGGTATCAGCCTTCCTGCATGACTTCCAAATCCATAAAAGCCCATCTAGTTTAGTCTTCCCTAAGCCTAGGCCCTAGGATGAAGGCAGCTGACGTCTGAGGAATAGGACAAGTGATAAACATAAAACAATGTCGAATCTACCCTTGGGATTATATTCACATCCAACCTGGACAAACCCAATCTGAAATCAACTTATAGACAAGATTGAAACCGGACTTAAGAATGCCAGATACTTCTTTTCATCATGCCCCAAGTCTGAGTTTCTCACAGATATGCCTGGTCTGTGTGCCAATTCTGAAATCCAGCAATAGTGATTCCCTCAAATCAAGAAATGATTCGGGAAAACAATAACATGGACATGTATGATAATTGGATTACAAACAACTGCTATTGGGAACTTAGAGGAAACAAACATAATTGCTTTGTACTTTACTCCTTTTTTTTGCAGAATAAAAAGAAACCACTAAGGGCTTGAAACTTACAATTACCAGAATGTTGTTTAAGAGTAACACCGATTGCCCAAAAGGGGAACCGGCGTTGGAAATGGTATTCACATTGTTCTCAGAACTCCCCAGTGGAGTCGCCATTCTGTGAACGTCGGAAAAATCCGGCTCCGGCGGTTCACCTCATGACCAAATGTAAGGAGTCGCCACCCATCAGAAACACATAACTGGTAGTGATGGGTCTCCCAGAATTGGATTTCAAAAATAAACTTGAATTTAATGGCGACTCCCTATCATTCGACCCAAACAAAGTAAACAAACCTGGGTAAGATGAGAAAGAGAGAGGGAAGGGGTTAGGCACCCCTTTATCCCAACTCGCGCAGAAGATAGATTGGAGATTCGGATCCTCTAATAGCTCGAAGGAATGCTCCCTTCTACATTCCCAGACCAATCCCCTTTTGGATGCAGGGGCCTGAGCAAAAGGATGAGAAACTACTTCCTCACCCCCTTTCTATCAGAGTCCCCACCCAGAGAACCCCCAAGCCTAAAAAAAAAAAAAAAACAAAAGCAAGAACGTCTATTACAAAAACAACTACTGCAACTACAAACTTTACCCTAAAAGAAGATACGAGGTAATCGAAATATACCTCTTGTGGCGTGAAATGAGAAACGGTGATGCAAGGGAAGGGAAAGTTCAGCCTCTCGATGAAGCTCCTTCAGCGATGGAAACTCTACTTGGGCTGTATGAAAGCAATTCTTCTCTTCGAATTTGACGCGGACTGAGACAGGATCTTCGACTGTTTTCTCCTCTCTCAGCTTTCTCTCACAATCTTCTCTCCTCTCTCAAGACCTCCTTCCACTCATTGGGAACAAACAATGCCTCCCCTCAGGAAGGGGTCTTCTAAACAAAAACAGAGAGGAAAGGGGTTTTAGGTGGATAGGCTAGGGTTGGGGGTAAATTGGGGAAAGAAGGGTAACTTGGTATTTTTGCAAACTTGGAGTAATTTGGGAATTTAGGAGAAGGGATATTTTGGTAATTTTAGGGGAGAGGGTATTTTGGGATTTGGGTTGGGGTAGTTTGGGTATTGGTCAAAAGGAGGTAAATTGGGTAACTTTGGTCAAGAGCATTTTGGTAATTTTGGTTAAAGGGTATTTTGGAAATTTAGGGGGATTTTGGAAGGATGGGCAATTTTGAAAATTAGGCCAAGGGCAATCTAGGGATTGGTCAAAGGGGTAATTTTGGTAATTCAGAAGAGGAAAGTGTTACGGGGATTTGTTCAAAGGGTATTTTGGTAATCTGGAACGGGGGTATTTTGGGAATTTGGTTTAAAGGGTATTTTGGTAAACTAATCAGAGGGTATCAGATAAGATCTATAATGAGTTTTGAGGATTTGGGGATTGAGATTTGGGTTATTTGGACATTCTAAGATGAGTGGTAAGATCATATCAGGCCAACTGGACCCAGATCGGACATATCTGAAAAGGGTTCAATTCTTTTAATCAGGGGCCTTAAAATGAAATCTTAGTATGATAAAAAGGCAAACAGAATACTATATTAATAATACAAGTTAATCTTCTTCCTGGGACTCAAATTTGCCTCACATTTACACCATGCTCGATTGATGGCAATGTTTAAAGTATTGCAACATATTATACCTCCATATAATAGAATAAATATTGATTTTTGAATTCAACAATACACCGTATAAATATGAAGGGAATTGGGGTGATTTGTCATCTTTCAATAATGGTAGTAGGTGTGGAGTAATTATTGTGATGTGGTTGAATAGTGGTATCCATTTGGGTAGGGTAAATCTCTAAACTCTAGAATCAACTTAGTTGGGAGTCTATTCCAAGAATTTAGAACTTACCTTACTCTAATTGAATAGGGCCAATTAAAGGTTGATTTGATGTCAGTTCCATTTATTCCAAGTAGAAACTAGCCATCTGCTCACTCATATATAAAATTGTTATAAAAGCAAGTCAAAATACTTTAAATGACTAATCAGCTTGCATTTCCATCAAACAAGATTTTTTAGGTATTTTTCAAAAAAAAAAAAAAATCAGTTGAAATAAAATTGAAAACGCTTAAGAAATGGGACGCATGTAAAATGCTACATTGCAAACCGATGTTTTAAAAATTGACTTAGAACTGGAACCATTCTAACCACCGATTTTTGGGTTAATAGTTTAATTGTCCAGTTCGAACAAATGGCCCGTTCCAATAAAAAATTAAAATAAAAGGCCAATAACTAATGAATGGGTCAAATGGATCAACAGTTCAACCGCTCGAATCAATGGATCATTGACCAATTCAACAGTTTTTTACCAAAGACCAGGTTTAGGGTAAAACGGAACTGATTGCTTGAATGGTTCCCAAGCCAAACGGTCCAACCATCTGGGTCGTCAAACAAAAAAAACGTATAAAAGGGAATGGTACCAAATACAAACCTTACTGAAATATTTTTCAATAAGGTAAGGACAGGACCAATGCATATTTCTGAATTCCACCCCAGATCCATAAACATTTAAAATGTCAAATACCCCACTATATGCACAAAATTCTGACCCTGTTTTCCCTATTTTTTTGGTGGTAATGAGATTGGATTTGAGAATTATATGTCAGTCCACAAATTATTACATAATCAGGTTCTCAACTTTCAATATTTCCTTCCACCACAAAAAGCTTTAAATATTTCCAAACAGTAAAATCGTAAACTTAAAAACCCCTTTAATATTCACAAACAACAAGGACAGCTACCAGACGACGAAACTGTGTTATCCAATCAATGGTCCAAGACTATCCATCAAAATTATATGGGATTTTTACCGATCAATCCACCTCAGAATTGGGATTTTTTTTTTCCAAATGTATTTACGCCTAACTTCCTTATAAACACCATCCTCCGTGAATTTATCATCTTTTTCTCTCTTGATATTGATCCAAATTGTACGATAAATTTATAAATTCTGAAATGGAGTGGATCGTAAAATCCCCAAATTATATTCTATATTGAAAAAAAAGCGTGACGAACCAAAGCACCGCCGGAGGCGGAAACTACCACTGAGATTTTCTATTTAGTTTCTTTTATTCTTCAATCAAAGACGCGGTGTGACGATGGTCTTACTCTGTAGCTCGAGCACTCTACAAAGTTCCGGAAACGACGACTTCCGTATCTCGGCATAAACCCCTCCATCCCACTTCCTAGCGGTCAAGGCCAATTTCTCACCCATGCGCAGTGCGGCCTCCAGAGTCTCCGCCGCGCTATCGTGTGCCGAGTCTATGATCCCCATTTTGATCGCCTCCTCGGCCTTCACCTTCGCGGCATGCAGAACCACGTCACGCCGAACCATCGGCGATTGGATCTTTTCTCTCAACAACGCTATGAAATAGTCGGGAAGAGTAAGCCCGATGTCGAGCTCGCTCATGTAAAGGACCCCCCTGTCTTTCCTCATCAAGACGTAGTCGTGGCTAAGCGCGAGCATGAATCCGGCAGCAGCGGCGTGCCCAGATACGGCTGCTATAGTGGGCATAGGGAGGGAGAGCAGGTCAACCATGATGGCCTTTAAACCGTCGCCCATGTGCTGAAGCCGGTGGAGGAAGCCGCTGGACCCGGACCCGGCGGACTCAGCCCAAGCGAGATCGAAGCCATTGGAGAAGAACTTACCCTGGCCAATCAGGACCGAACCGCGCTTGGCCTGTGCACGGACTTGGCTTAGAGCTGACCGAATCTCGCCGATGAGGTTGGGGTTCAACCGGTGCTCATCGTCACCGATTAGAGTTAGAAGGAAATTGTTACCGCGCTTTTCTAACGTGCACATGGCCGTCGTCTTCTCTTCACGCCCATGTCGTTTCTCACTCTCTCTGCCAAACTATTTATGGGTGGAAATCGGAAAAGCCATGCTTTTCCTGAGGATAATTTTTTCAACGGTTGTGATTTAGATTCTGCGTATTGGACGGAGAGAAACGATTCTGGCCAAAAGTCTTAGTCCACAGGTAGGTGTTTTTTTTCTGGGTAATGTCTGGCGGGTAGTCAACATTCCCAGTTCTCAAGGAAGCCACCACTCACGAGAGTTTACTTTCGTCACGACGTTTCCAACTGTCAAGACTAATCCCCAGATGTTTTGCTACGTTTCGTCAAGGTGCTTTCGTTATTCAGTTCTCACGTAATCACTCATAAAAATCTGTATAACGAATCCTGATAAGTCGGGGTCACCACCCACCAAGGGTCTGAATGTAGTGGGCACCTAGGTAAGTAGAATGAGTGAACGTGACACATATCCCAATTATTAATAAAACGTATTCATTGTTTTTATTTTTAATTATTTTGACAAAAATAATAAAATAATAGATAATTTCTATCTAACCGAAAGGCTCATTAACTAGGATATCTGTCATATAGATATTATATGTTCACTCATTGTGCTTACCTAACCTGCCTACTACATCCGGACCCATCAACAAAATACATTCCAACACACTTGAGAGTACACATGGCGGGTACTATATGGTGGGTCTCGGTCTACGATGAGATGTGTCATGCTATATCGTTTCGACGTCTTGGGATGGTGTTGTAAAGTATTTTGTTGGTAGGTGATCTCAACTCGAGTATAAATCGGTTTACTTTGGATCCACGACAAACATTGAACCTACCCAATTTTGATGGTATTTTGCCATTGTTTTATCTCTAGAATCAATTTTTCTTTAGCGGAGTACAAATGCAAATATGTAAAGTGCAAAACCTTATCTTTTCTATGTAATATTTATGTTGTACATATTTGCACTTGTACTTTTTCCAAACCAAGCCTTAATTCAAAAAATAGAACATATTATTTATAAAACTGAATGTCAATTAGGGGTGTAAATGGATCGGATGATCCGATCTGATTCAATCCTATTTGGTCAAATTTGGGTTGCCCTTATTTGAATCTTCAAATTGGATAATAGGATCTGATAAGAAATTGGATTGGATTTGGGTCACCCTTATCCGATCCGATTTATGTTATATATAATACATATATATGTTATTTATTTATTTATAAATATTATTATTTATATTGCATTTTTTAAAATTTGTTATATCATTTACTTTTTTATAAAAACATGTATATATATGTTGAAAATAATTAAAAATACTTATATTTTTTGTTTTTTTTTTCTTTATTTAAATTGGTATATTTTATTTTTCTTTTAATAATTTATTAATTTTTAAAGAAAATAAGTCAAATCATATCAAATCCGAAGATCTGACTTATTGATAGGATTCGAATTCAGATTGAGGCCTGTCAGATCCGATCGGATTGGAATCTGCCATGAATAGTGTCAGATTAGATACTGATACAAATATATCCTGATTCAAATCTAATAAGATCCGATCTATTTGCTACTACTACCTTTATTGATTAAATTGAGTAATTTAATTTGTAAATTATCATGATATATCAATATATAATTCAAAATTCATCATTATTATTATTATTTAAATTTTGTAAATATTATCTTTTACATTATTTATCATACACATAAAAATATAGACCGAAAAATATTATAAAAAAGTGATTTAATGGTTTAGTGAGAATCATTTTAACCATGAGTGCTTGAGTTTAAATCTTAACATTATTAAAGTTTTTTCGGGAATTTATTTCAATGCAAGTTTGGTTTCAAGTTGGCTCCACCATGACCAATCAAGGCAGGCCTCATTTGGTTTTGAGTAGAACCTATCCGAAACATTCACTCTTAATTGGTTATACAGGTTTGCAATGGCTGTTCAGACCCTGTTCTAAGACCAAATCCCGATCCTTTTACATGGCCAACAAATAGATTCAAGTTGTCATGATTGGTAAGGATTTCTCTCAAAATCATTATAGTATTAAAACCAAATCACTTTTAAGACATAAAGCACAAAGCCTATCGATGCTTTATGCGTTTAGGCCTTAAAAGCACAAATCCTAAACTTATCCAAATGCAGCCAAAGTTTGAACCAAACCAAAACACAACTTGACATGGGCTAGGACTTAGGTGGACTTAATTGGGTCAATATGAATGGGTCAAGTAGGTAAATATGGGTGGATTGTGACCCATTAACAAGGATTGATGATGTGTCATGGTGGATTTGTATTCAACCCTTACCCAACTCAACCTAACCCATCCATTTTCCACCCTTAGGATCAATTCACTAGCGTGTCCATTCTGATATGTAGCCCAGTTCACAGTCTGGTACTACTTTTGCTATGATATAATGTTGCATTGAAACAAGGAAATCAAAGTGATGTACTGAAAATTTGATACAACCCCACCTTCAATGAGATAAGGTGACATCATGGTGGGGACATATTAATAAATCTAAGGCCATGATTCCACATCTCAATTCCAAGAATGAAGGAAGCCTAACTGGATTAGCCGTGAAGTCCTATGGCTACTGGATTATCTCATGCAGTTGGGTAGAAGAGGGTCACATGTAACTAGATGAACAGTGTTGTGTCCTCTTGTTGTTCATGAGATTACATCCTACTCATTTTTTCAACCTTCACTTCAAGGATTCCTTCATATAATTGTATGAAAAGAGGCATAATATTGGTTTTTTCAAAAAAATTTACAAAATTCAGCCACATGTTGATGGATTGTTAATGGAGGGGAGGTCTTTATCAAATAATGCCATATGATGGGGGAGGTCTTAGTCCAATTTGAAAAGAGAGTGGAAGTTTTAATATTTTGGAGAAAAAGCCAAGGGACGCTTAAGTCTTTTACCTTAAGTTGGCTCCGTTCGTTTCAACTTACTTATGTAAATGAGTTTATCTAAGAAAATGTTTCCTAAGTAAAACTTGTCTAGGTAAGTTCGATTCCAATATTCTTGCGTGATATAAGTTATTTACCCAAGTAAAAAGAGAAGTAGGAGAGAGGAACATTATCAGTGCACGAGTAAGTTGCTTACCCACCCTCTAAGAGGGTATTAGTTGTTGAGGTAATAGGTACTCTCCGTTATCTTGACTTACGGTGGGACCCAATATAGTAACATGTGAATGTAGAGATGTGTGGTCAATTGCCTATTTAACCAACTTACCCCTTGCTAAATACCAACAAATGAATAGGGCCTAATAAAAAGAGGATGTTTATGATGATGGGCATAGAGACTTGGGAAATTAAAGTAAAATAAATAGATTTTAAAGATGATGTAAACTCTTAGTTTGAGGGATATCATTTACTTCCCTAAACTACACAATCCAACTAAAGTGTATTTGAAAATGTTTACTTGTTACATCAAAATTTAAACAAATGACATTAAAGGCGTTATATGGTCTACTTACTTTTTATTAATTCACATTTTAAAAATATAGATACCATCATATTATATTGTTGTATCACTGGTTTGTTCATAGTA